CCCCCAAATACCAGACGTCATTTAGATGTTGGTTTTTAGGGTAAATGTGGTCGGTCTGTCATAGTCTTAATTCAGTCCAGAAATTGTTGAAAATTGGGCTGTGGCTGGTTTTTCTGATTTTGTCCCAACTGTTAATAATAGATGTTGAAAACCCAGTTTTTAACGTTTATTATTATTAGTTGGGTCTTTTCAATTATCTGAAAATTATGGATTTTAACCTTTCACTTCTCTTTCAAATGTAGACATCATGTCGACGTAAATCATGTCGTCTTTTCAAAGTTTTTTCAACAAATTTTTGCACATTGATTATACGGTAAAGGATGGTGACTGCTATGCAAGATTAAACACTGGTATGAGAAAATAAAAAACATAAATGCTTACAAATATTCTATTTGGTGAAATACACTAATTATGAATAAATTCATTGTGGTTTCCTAATTCTTTCAAGGTAAAAACAGCTGTCTGAAAGAAAGCCTTCCCTTGCTGTAGTTGTTAAATTCCCTTGGTTTTGATCTAATCTGCCGATATGTGTGTTCCCAGGCTGATAAACGAGAGTGTGTTGAGGAAAAAGAAGACATAGAAGGAAACCTGCTCAGACCAGCAGGCCTTTCTCTGAGAGGAGCCATCTTTACACTGAGGATTTTCAGAGCTGAAGATTTGCCACAAAGTGAGTCTATATGCAGGCTGTTTATTTTTACTCTCCTTAAAAAAACGTAATCTGAGGAAGCTCTAACATGTTTGTCTAGTGGACGATGCCTTCATGGATGGAATGAGGCAGATTCTTGGGTTTGATTCCAACAGAAAGAACTTGGTGGATCCAATGGTGGAGATTAACTTTGCTGGAAAAACGGTGACTTTCCTCAACCACTTTTCTATCATCATCTGTGATCCAAACCTTTGATTATGTCATGTGAAGCTCAATACTGCTGATGGAGAGAGCTTTGTTTTTATCTTTCAGGTCTGCACAAAGATTCTAGAGAAAAACGCAAACCCTCAGTGGAACCAAAGCCTAGCAATGCCCATTAGAGTGAGAAGCACAGAGACTATTAAACCAAGAAGTGGTTGAGCACAGAATAAATGTTATACATGTTTTTATTTCTGTTTCTTTTACAGTTCCCTTCCATGTGTGAGAAGATGAGGATCCGAATTGTAGACTGGTAAATCCAGACATAAATGACTTTCAGTGACCCACTGCTATCAAACAATTGTTACTGAAGAAATTTTCAGGATTGTTTTTCCATTTTAAGAAGTAAAATATGAAATCAGATAGAGTAGTATATTATTTAATCTTATTTCCTTTAATAGAGAAAACTATTTCGCAACTCTTTTCTCTTTAAGGTAGTAATTAGCAGTAAATAAACTTCTGTTACTGTAATAAATCACTAGGTCCTACTTCAGTCTCATCTAGATGGTGTGTGCTGCATATGATGAGACATTTTTACACTTTTTTAAATCATTGTTTTAACTAAAAGATAAACACATCTTTATCTTACCATACCCTTTTGTTCAGAAAATTACACACTGATACATTTGGCCTTAGGAGTATGTTTAACAGGTCTGGGTTTTTCTTACCTCTCATTTCAGGGATAGAGCTAGTCATAATGACGTCATCGGCACCACCCACCTATGTATGTCCAAGATATCGGCCCCAGGAGGAGAAATTGATGGTAAGTTGCTGGAAAAAAAAAGTACCTGGAATTTAGTCTGAACTGGACTAGGCCTTCCCAATAAAACCTTAACTGGACATTCATGGAGAACCTGGACCATGACAAGTAGTCTAACCAAGTCTCTTTTGATCAAAGTCTCTTTAATCCAAGTCAAATTTCCCTATTTTTCCACAACAAAAGTAAGTAAATCAGATAAGATTGTCAGAATCCCTTTCTATTACAGTTGTCAAGAAAATACCCACATTGTAGGTGCTGGATCCTTTCCACAACCTTTGATTGAAGTGCTCTGTCAACATAACAAAGCATGTTGACATGCATGATGACTGACTCGGTGTGCTAGATTAACACATCACTCTCATCTTTATACTTCCTCTTTTTGACCAACACAGCTACCATTTTGCCTTCGTGTTTTTGGAGATGCTATGTTGATTAAAACAGAAAAAATGAAATTACACCAAAGAGAATAAACAGCAGTTGCTTGTTTGCTTGAGTTTGGGTTTGAGTTGCGTTCAGAAACCTCTTTTTCCACTCTTTCTTTTTGAATCTCTTTGATTTTTAACCATCCTTCCTCTCTACGCATTCAGATGACTTGACCCCTCGGACCGCCCACCCAGGCAGTACGTCTACCATGCTCTATACACCACTTTAGTTAACCAAATTTCACTTAGTTCTTTTTAAGATATATATATATTTTTAACTCATCAACCGTATTATCTCAGATCTGTTTTCCTATAAGTAATTTCTATATGATGAGTTAGTGTCATATCTGTTTACTTGGACCGATTTATAAAGGTTTTGATGTATTCTCTTTAATTGCAGTTGATGACAGCCTTGGTTTCCTGCCGACATTTGGCCCTTGTTTTGTCAATTTCTACGGGAGTCCCAGAGAATTCACTGCCTTTAATGATCCCCATGAAGCTCTTAACCTTGGAAAAGTAAGACTACTACTATTATTCTTTCTGCAGATGGAGGACAATAATCTTTGTCTTGGTCCTCCATCTTGACTTGCTAAAAAAAAAAGTGCATCTCTCTCACAGGGGGAAGGAGTAGCATACAGAGGCAGAGTTTTACTTGAACTGACCACAAAACTGACTGACAAACCTGAGCACAGGAGTGAAGACATAGCATCAGATGACCTGCTGGTAGTGGAGGTGAGAGACAAGGATTAAATGTAGAAATAGGTATAAAAATATGGAGCCCCTCACATGTACTGTACATATATCTCTGTCTTACAGAAGTTTCTCAGAAAGAGAAAGTTCTCTCTCTTTGTGGCGTTTTACTCAGCCACGCTGCTTCAGGATGTTGATGATGCCATCCAGTTTGAAGTCAGCATTGGTAACTATGGCAACAAGTTTGACTACAGCTGCCTCCCTCTGGCCTCAACCACACAGTTCAGCAGGGCTGTGTTTGACGGTAAGTGAGGGGCCCAAGGTTAAGCTGGTACTAATATAAGACAATGATCTTTTTATTTTTCCGTTGAGGTTATCCCCTTTTTGAGGCATGTCCTTAATATCACACTGGTTATTTCATCTAAAGATAAACAAAATAGTACAATATATTTTTAATCAAAGTATTAGCTTAGTTTTAGATATAGTACATGATTTTTCAGGTCAATAAATATGATTTGGAGTCCATCATTGTTCTATGCTGGCTGTCCTTCTCACAGACTCCCCTATGTAACTTATGAGGAAGGGACGTCTTACTTAATGAGTGAAGTTACGCAAAGTACCACTTTACGGCAGTCTGAGCTCCCCCTGAACTAATAAACGTTTTTTAGGCTGCAAAACAGCTATGACAGTTTTTGGTTCTCTGATGTAGTTTTTTTTTTTTTTCTTAAGAGGTGAAAGCGGCCTATTTTCCATGATTCTCAATCTACTCAACCAAAGTGGTACCAAAATTTAAAAAGAGCTAATTCTGCAACAGTGTAGTGTTGCTAGTGGCCTTCACAGGGCCAACCCTGTAAGTTATATGTCCAGCGCCCCTTGTGGCTAAAGGTTATTCAAATCCTCCAGAGCCAGTATCCTCTGTCACCTTTTAAATATGTCCCTTTCCCTCTACATAAAGTGCCTCCACAGACACCATAAATAAAAATGAAAAACAGACTAAGATCTACAATAGAGCCTAATGGTGATCCACAACTAAGGGGCCATTAATACTTGCTTGTAACGACTGTAATAATCATATTTCAGAGACAGAACTGGAATAATGTTAATGAAAACAAGCATTTTTTTTTTCAAAAAGAAATTTACTTAGTATACATTTTTTTCTTTAACTCTAAAAGCTGGATTTATTTTAAGCAGTTGTGGAATATTGTATTTACCAGCTAAAAAAAACAAGTTGAAACGCTGTAAAAAGCTGCTTTAGCCAAGTTTTGCAATATGAAACCAACCTGAATTTGAATACCTTTTTTACTCTGTTTTAGGTTGCCACTACTACTACCTTCCCTGGGGAAATATTAAGCCAGTGGTGGTTCTTTCTTCAGAATGGGAAGACATTCGACCAAGGATTGAAGCTCTCAACATGTTGCTTGCGATCATAGACAGATTGGTGTGTACTGATGGTCTTGTAAATTAGCCTCCTGCAGAGTTGTAGTATTGCACAGATTTAATTATTATGTCTGTTGTGGGATATTTTTGCTTTTCCAGGAAACAAACCTGCAACAAGTGCAGTTTGAAGTGAAGGCAGGAAGTGACATGGAGGATGTAGAGCTGCGTGTTGTAGAGCTTTTAGATCAGCTCATTGCAGACTGCAGGTAAATCATGTGTTTTACTGTCAGTTCCTATATTTTACATTTAAATATGATCCTTCATTCCAGTGGAATCATTAGAACAAAAAAAAAATCTACCTTAATTAACTTATGACTTAGCTTTAGGTAAGTAGGTATAAATAAAAATGCTAGCATAATAAATGTATTGTCGAGGATTTGCTAAAAGACCCACCCCCTTTAAACAAACAAGTGTGCAAGAGCACGCACCAGCCCATTTCTCCTCACGCACACCCTGTTTAAAATGTGCATTTCTCATAGGTCATATAAGCTTACTGTGTCCACATACAGTGGGGACTATATAGGGGACTTAATTGCAAACTCAGTTAACTTACTGTTTGGACAGATGATCACTGCTTTTTGCCCTAACTCCTCCTCCACTACGCAGTGCCTGCACCATCTTTGTTATTAGTCGCCACTGTCGGGTAGTGACAGCCTATGGCGACAGCGGGCTGTTGTGAAAGCAAATCCCATAATGCTTTTCGAGGAGAGCTCTCTGCGCAAAGCATTCTGAGATATATCTGCCTCTTCTTAGGCCTTTTTTTTCTTTTAAAACACTTAGTAGACACTTTTTCTCTTATGAAATATGAGCTTCAATGACTTAAACAGTACCTTACCACACCTTATATGTGCATAAATATTTGGGGTTGAATTTCTATAAATTTAATCACTCTTTATTGTGCTACTTTTCCTAAATATGTTTCTTTAGCAACTGCTAAAGTAGAGTAAGGTAAACTGGTACTGAATACTTTAATTTTGCTTTTAATTTGTGTTTTTTTTTTTTATTTGAGCATGTTTATGTAACACACAGGCTAAAGGGCAATCCAAAAGAATAGATCTATGTTTCATTTCTTCTGTCCTATACGGTAGTTAATGAATCTTTCTCCTCACAGTAAGGAGCTGCCCTCTATCGACCAGTGGCAGTGTGCTACTCCTCTTGACCGCTCATTGAGACACATTCGAAGCCTCCACTTGCAGCAGATCACAGCCGCAGCTCTGGCACTGAAACACGGACCAGAAACTGAACTGTCCTCAGTGCTGGAGCAGGCGGAGGACTGGGCCAACAGGCTGAGGACCATAGCTGAGGAGGTAAGAGCTGTCTTTTAAGCCACCAAGTAATTAGGAGGCCATTGAACTAATTAAGCTTTACTTAAACCCGCTGTGAATTTTGTCTCCCAGCCTCAGAATAGTCTCCCAGACATTATCATCTGGATGCTGCAGGGCGACCGCAGGGTGGCTTACCACCGCATCCAGGCTCACACTGTCCTCTTCTCCCAGCAATACTGTGGGAAACACTGCGGACAGCTGCAGAGCATCTTTCTGAAGGTGTGTGCATTTCCTCTACCTATCCACCCAAACAGACCTGCTGTTCTATGTTAATAATCTACTGTACTGCAGGCATCCCCAAAGTCGGTCCTCGAGGGCCGCTGTACTGCAGATTTTAGAGTTTTTTCTGCTTCAGCTCAGCTGATTCTGATGATTGCAGTTGCAGCAAAAGCCTGTTGATCATCTATCAATGTAAATCAGCTGTGCTGGAGCAAGGAACCTCTAAAACCTGCAGGACAGCGACCCTCGAGGACCGAGGTTGAGAATGCCTGATCTACTGTATTTGAGTAAGCTCAAAACTGTTAAGGAGAAACAAAAAAAAAAATCTAATATTTAATTGATTATAATCAGAAAATCACTGCACATGTTATTTCTTTGTTTTTTAAATTGCAGATTTGACTTACGATACAATTCATGTTTAGGTTTTTAATTGTTTTCTATTTTAGTAAAATACTCAAAACTAACCACAGAAAATAAAAGAAATATGAACATTTGGCCACATTTGTACTATTTATTGTAGTCAAGGGTCCCATTAATTATTCAATAGAATAAATGGGCCACACGTTGAACCTCCTGGTTCTTTGTAACGTACCTGGTGTGTTTTTCGCTGTTCAGAACCCGCAGGGCAGCGGGAGCGAAACCAAACTTCCTGGTCAGCTGAGGGTGAAGGTGTGGTTCGGACTGGCTGCTGATGCCAAACACTTCAACCAGTATGCTGAAGGGAAACTGTCTGTCTTTGCAGAGACGGTATGAAACATGTCAACATTTACTGTAGGACTGCTTCATTAATGTGGGTGTTTGAGATAATACCTTAAAGTCTTGGGCCATTTTGGCTTTATTCAGCCAGACCTTCCTTTCTGTAATGTTTAAGTTTTTTTTTTTTTTGTGCAACCATGGTATAAAATGCTGAAAGGAAAGAAAGCTCTTCGTTTCTCCCTCTGCAGTCGAAACCTCTCTTTGATTATTTGCAGTACGAGAACCAGACTCGGCTGGCTCTGGTAGGAAGCTGGGGAACGACAGGTTTGACCTACCCGAAGTTCAGCGACGTCACTGGGAGGGTGAAGTTGCCCAAAGAGAGCTTTAAGCCCTCGCCTGGATGGACCTGGGCTGGAGACTGGTTCATCAGCCCTGAGAGGACGTGAGTCTTTGCTACTTAGTCATTCAATCATTCTGAGTTTTAGAACGGTCTTTCATTGAGCATAACACATGATTACAGGGAAACCTCTTGCTTTAGAGGGATAGAAGCTTTTTGGTATAGAATAATATTGTATTTTTAAAAAGTGGGCAAAAGTAAAACATTCCCCTGCAACGCAAGGCATAATGAACATTTCAAACTCTATTCTATTAAAGCATTACTTAAGCTTGTTGTCATTCTACTGATTGCCAGGAAAACTGAGCATCAGGCTTTACGGAAAACAGAAGTTACAATGAACATGACTGCATGAACAGAAACATGCTGGAAGATTGAACGATTAAACTAGCATCCAGTAGCTGTAAACACCAAAACCCCCGAAACGCATTAAGGCTGCGTCCTCCCATGGACCCGGTCTACCTGGACTTGGTCCTTCGAAGGCTGTGAAAATAAGGAGGCCGGAAGAGTATAGGTTCAAACAGGTCCAGGCTTCTCCAGCTTTCGTCGCCCCTCACTCAGCGTACGCTCTGTCGCCTAGCAACCGTGACAGTCGACACACAATGCAGGCAAAGGATGGATGGCGAACTTCTTACTACTGTTCTTTGTGCTAATTTCATTGAGGAGCTTCAGTAGAAGTACCTTTTGTTGTGAATATCAGATTTATAGTCCCCTCACTGCAGAGATCTTAGAATCTGTGTCTAAATGTCAGCTAAACCCATTTGCACGGAGACAGATAAAAACCTAAACCAAACATTACCCGCTACATATCTGACTCAATAACCATTTAAAACCCTTATTTTCATAATTTCAGATGGAACAATTTACATGCTTGGATTATATTGAGGATACAGCTGACTTGATTCTTTGAATTGGAAGAGGCCACGGCACCGTGCTATGACGTAATCGACCAACGAATCTGGCCTTCGGAGGTCACAGCTGCCAGTTTCAACATGCGCCTCAATATGTCTTGGCATACGATCTAACAACAAATAGGGATTTGACAGCTTTTATTCAAGCTGATCCTTAATCCATTTAAAGTCAAATATATGAACCCAACATCACATTAAGAGAAGTCTCCCCTTCCCATAATATAATATCTGTGCCACTGTGCTGTACAGTATACTGTGGTTCATATTGAATGCAAAACAGTGCCTGAACCCTAACAGGACAATATTGATTTCACCAGTCGATAAAAAGTGCACCTTTTGTCCTTAAAGTATCTGCACAACTTTTTTGATCAGTCTTTGTTATTTTGATTGTACTCTAATTAATTCAACATTTTTTCCAAATCTTTCTTGTTTTACTTCTTATTTAAAGCATCAATGTAATTGAACTCATTTCTTTTTATTTTAGCTATTTTTTCATAAAATAAATTAAAAATTCTACATCTGTTTTCTTACCAAATAAACTCCTCACTTTGATTTAGATGATTATTCAGTTTTACAGCATTTATGACTAACCCTAACTAATAACCTCCCAAAACTAACTCTGACTTTAAATTCTATTCACACCATACCTCTAAATCCAAACCTATAAAAAAAGGATTCCTCCAGATCAAAGATCAGGCTTTGGTCTCATTATTATTATGATCATCATTATTCACAGGGTATATAAAGAATGTGCATCTAGGACCAAGATGCACATAAAAAGTTTGAACAGGTACACTCTAACACAGAATTATTGTTCCTTTAAACAACATTCAATGGCTTCCAAAGTGTTTTATGCTGTAAATAAATCCCTCAAAGGAGTCTAAAACTGATACTTTACACATAAAATTCTCTTGAAATTGTATAAACCCTTTTTTTTTTTACTTTTGCTTAGGATTTGCATGAGAATTTGGCTTGTGTGGATGCAGCGGTAGCAACATTAGCAGTATGTCAAGGTTCCCTCTAGGGCTGAAGCAATTAATTGTGAATAGTAGAGTATTTAAATAATTGTCAACTAATTTAGTAATTGATTAATCGTTAACTGGAGTATATAGACTGCAGAACATGCCTTTAGCTGAGAGAGTGACCCACTTAGAGCAGTAATTATACCAAAATTGTAAAGAAAATATATAAAAAATGTGCATTTAAGATAAAAAAAAAAAAAAAAAAAATTCATAAATAAATATTCACTATCCAGAACTGACCTGGAAGTGGAAGAGTTTTATTTTCACCTGGTTTGATTTTGTAAAAAAAAACGTTTTCTATCCGATTATTAAACAATTATTCAAAAGAAATAATAGACATATTAATCGATTTGGAAATTAATTGTTTGTTGCAGCCCTAGTTCCTTTACTATCATTTTTGTTCTTTTAAACAATAAGTAAAAAGTAACACAAGCAGCAACAATTGCTGACTGACTGCGGTAATTGAGGTTAAACACATGTGGAATAAAACATTCTGCCTTTTTGGGCAACATTTTACTGAGAGCATTTAAAAAATACTTTTAAGTAGATTTGGCAATAATTGCTTTTACTTTTGGGTTTTCCCCAGACTGCTGTTTGATGTGGATGCAGGTCACATGACCTTCACAGAGGAGGTGTTTGAGAACCAGATGAGGTTACCGGGTGGGCAGTGGATCGGCATGCCGGAGGGCTATACTGACGTGGTGAGTTCCTGGATGGTTATTCAATAGCTTTGTTTGCTGTAAGTAAAAACAAACAAACAAACAATATTTCTTTCTGTGACAGAACGGGGAGAAAACTGTGCCAAAGGACGAGGTGGAGTGTCCTCCTGGGTGGGTTTGGGAGGAGGTGGAGTGGAGCGAAGATCTCAACAGAGCTGTTGATGATCAAGGTGCTTAGAAAATAAAGGATTGCTCATATAAACAAAAAAGGACGGCTCTTACTTCTTTTTTTTGTTGTTGTTGTTGTGTATTACCTTTAGGCTGGGAGTATGGCATCACCATTCCTCCAGACCGCCGTCCTAAGTCATGGGTTCCTGCAGAGAAGATGTACCACACCAACAGAAGGAGACGATGGATAAGGATGAGACGGAGAGACCAGCAGAAGATGGAGGCCCTCAGGAAGGTAGCAAGGTTTTTATATTACCGTGATGCTCTTCCAATGCATATTAGGATATGATCTCAATAAGTTGCCGCCTTTATTAAGCTCCTAATATCCAGCACTAATTCTCAACAAATGTATTAAGAGACTTTATTAAAAAAAAAACTCGATTCAGTCCAGTTATACTGAAGGATTTAAAGTCAACCAAGACTAACAGTCATTGGAAAGTTAACTGAAACTTTTACGTTTCTTGTAAAAAAAAAAAAAATCATATTTTTCCCAGGAGCAGTAAAAAAGTATTTAACAAAATGTAGTATATTAAACTTTTTGCTGATAAAAACATATGAAAATTATAAAGTTTTAACAAGTTACTATTAATTGAACTAAATTGAATAAAGAACAATCAAACAAACAGTAATCATTGTCAGCCCTAAACATCATTCCTCAGCCTTGGTGTTTGTCTCTGCGTGGCGGAAGTACCCTCTTTTCAGCACTAGATGGAGCTCCTGCAGCACAAATTAGAAACTTTGACACAACAAGCCTCAACTTTGGCCTAATTTTTGACTTTACGCTATTTTTGAGTGGTGAAAAATAGTTGAATAAATGTATGTTAATGTCTTCTTTAAGTTAATAAATACAAACTATATCTAATTACTGTTAATTTATATTTATTCCCACAGCAGCGTCCAGATGATACAGACAGAGAAGGCTGGGAATATGCATCTCTGTTCGGCTGGAACTTCCACCTGAAACCCAGGAAGACAGACAGCTTCAGGAGGCGCAGGTGGAGGTGCCGCATGGAGCCGCTGGAGAAGACTGGGCCGGCTGCCATCTTTGCTCTGGAATGTTCCCTGGTGAGGGATGGAGGACAAGAAAACATGTTTATGGATAGGATTTCTACACATGGCATGGGAATTAAATAAAGTATCTGCTGATCTCAGTCTGTCTCTGGAACATTAAGTTCTTTTTTTTTTTTTAATTCCAGCTCCATTTTATAGCAAAGATGTTGGAGTTCTGTGCAGGACAGCCAGGTTCTTCCATATCAAAGTGCATTTGTTAATGGGATTGACTTCTGGAGTTGGATTATATCTTGATTTTATTAAATCCCTTTCACAGTTGGAAAAAAAAATGGGGCCTGCACTTTTTGTTTTGCAGTCATACAAACCTATAACAGTGAATATGGAAAATCTACAGAAGAATCATAAGCAATTCTGCATTAAAATGTGTTTCTCTGTGGCTCTTCTTCCACAGAGCAGCATAGAGGACAAGCACGATGACAAGTCGGTCACCACCACCTTTGGAGTCAACAGACCAACAATTTCCTGTTTCTTTGACCGTAGGAAAACATTCATACTTTCCCCCACTTTTATTTCATTTTTTTGGATCTCTTTCCCAAATGTTGTGGATTATTTTTTTTTTTTCATGTGAAACTGGTTCTTTTAGGCGGCACCCGCTACCACTTGCGCTGCTACATGTATCAAGCCAGAGACCTGCTGGCCATGGACAAAGACAGCTTTTCAGGTACAGTTCAGTGACCGCCTCAGTAAATCTTAACTGATCAAACCAACTGTTGCGGCTGTTTTGGCGCCCTCTGGTGGCCAATTTGCAAAGCCGTCTTTGTTTCGGATTCTAATTGAAAGAATAAAAATCGGTTTCATATTAGCAAATGATGAACTGTAGTATAGTATTAAAAAAAGACCCATATACAGTAGTAAGACATTTTAAAATCACACATGTATTATTGATTTTATTACATGTTTTAGCTGTAAATAAAAATGAAACATCTTTAATATTAATGTTTACATCTTTTCAGAAATGTTTTTATTAGGATTGGTTCAAAGAAAATAACATAACTTTAAACTGTACATCTGTAGTTGTTTTAATTCATTACCCATTTTTCAAATATTTTTTTTCTAATGTATTCACCACTGTGTGTACAATGGTTTATTTCAGTAATTCAGTGAGTTTTATACCAGATGTTACAGGATCCAGACCTTCCATCCAGGGCTTCTTTTGTCTCATAACTTCACAGAATGTTTTCCTAATATCATCTAATGTTTCTGTATAAATGTGAATCAAACTTTTTCTTTGGGTCTTTTCTGGGAAGTCTCCCATGTATGTTCTTTTTGCTTAGTTTCTTATTGTTGAATCACAGATCCTGTTCCCAGCAGACTCCAGTAAGGCCTGCAGTGTTTTAGATGTTGTTCTACAGTAGGTTTCCTTTTGACCTCTTGGATGAGTCCTTAATGCTCTCTTGGAGAAACTTGATTAGGCCAGCCTCACTTTAATAATGCTCATTACAATTCCAGATTTTCTCCATTTGTTGCAAATGGCTCTCCTTAAAAATGAATTTACAGCTCAGTTTAAATATCTCTTTTTTATTTGTTCAGTTTTTTCCTTACTTTATTTTAGCAGACGGAAGTTATTTTTTTTTTTATCCTGAACTGTATATCCCTTGAAAAAAACTTTAGGATCACTGAGATAACATTTTTGAGAGGGATATAAAAAAAAAAAAACTGCCTATAGTTTTACAAATGATGCATAAATCATGTGCTGAGTGGCAAATAATGACAGAACTAGATTGGCAACAAGCTAATTGCATGCATTAGATAAAATCAGCTAGTGTATAAAAACCGAAATATATAGAAACATGTTTAACCTTTCAAACCTTTTTAATGACTTGACAGAAAGCCAAAACTGTCGTTTTGGTTTATTTTTATTGGAAAAAAAGGGCAGCTTTAACTGCAGCATAACTCTTTCTCTGGTTTCAAACTATTAACAAATTGGCAATTATGAGTTAAGGAATAAGATACGAGTTATTACTCACAAAAGAAAAACCCTAGTGATTCTAGCTGACCTTCTAATAATTAAAAATAAGAAATCTGACAACATTAAACTCATTAAAAGTATACTGCTTGTAAATGAGACGTGAGAGCCAGAAAGAGTTTAATACGGGGAAACGAGCTTTAAAAATGTTGATTTAATTATAGAACAGCTCTGATTGTAATTAGAAAGGGGAGAATGTTAGAGAGAAATATTTTCTTTGATTGAAAGAGGTCATGGAAACTACAGCTACTGTGTGTGTTAATCAGAAGCCCAGCGCAGACTCGCATGTAAAAACGGAGCTTTTATAAACAAAAGCATGACTAGACGGCAGAGGGAGAGATGATGAATGGAAGGCTGCTTTAAAACGGGGTCAGAGACGGGGGACATCAAACAGGTTTCTGGTAACAAACTAATGATAAATCACTATCTTTACTCAAACTCGTTAGCTCTTTCACACACACACGAGCTTAATGGGCAAATAGATCTGATGGATGGGCTTTACTTGTGTTTTCATCTGGTGTTACATGAAATTTTGTTTGAGGATGATTAAAGACTCAGTCTGCTATCAAACACTAAGGGTTTTATGGTTTTCCTTTTTATTCGTCGTCCCTTTTTCATGTGGTCGCCTTTCATCCTCTGTTGTCTTGTATGTTCTCTTCATCTCCGTCGTCGATCATTTTTTTGGGGTCTTGTTTCTGACTTAAATCTGTCGTTTTTTTGGCTTTTTATATCTTTCTATCGTGCTGATGCCAAATATCCAAAGTTCACAATATTAAAAAAAAAGGTCTTTGAAAAGATCTTGCTCTTGGTATAATCACTTTATTATATTTCTATGATGAGCAAGACAAAGGATAAACAAATTTTATGTTTTACATATATAATGATTGGAGGGATGTAAATATATCCTTACATACTCAGGCGTTAACTGTTGTTTTTATATTTAGTTACATTTTAAGTTCACATTTTTTTTCTTTATTTTCACTAATCTATTCCCTACTTAGATATTTAGCCTTCTCTATTTAAAAGAAAATTTATATTTATCTATCTTTTATTTTCTCTTCGGTTTATTCCTCCATTTTTTTTCACCATCTCTATTCCCGCCGTTCTTCCGTCTGCGTTGTGTTTATGTACCTTTGTTGCTCCATTGGAGCAGCAACTACTGCTGCTTCCCTTTTACACACACAAAAAAAAGACCCAAAAAATGTAGATAACCCCTTTGGGCTATTTGCATTTCTGTTTATATGAACTAATGGGCTGTAGGGAATGGAGGCTAATTGAATGGGTCACCATGGGTGGCGTGTTTGTACTCTGTGTGTGTGTATACATGTATGTGTGTCAGCAACGGGGTTAATTGAGGACTGGTGGGAAAATGCATTTTAGCTTCTGTTTACTCTGATGCTAACGGCTCCACAGAGACTCGTTACTCAGCCTAAAACAACAAACGACCCGTGTCCATGTAACTGTACGTGCACGTTCACTGGAAGTAATGTCTGTGTGTGTTTTAATGCTTAGGGGATGATTGTGACTTGGAATAACAAACTACTCAGAGTGGCGTTCCCAGAGCTCTGTCCCAAGGTTGACATTCCCAAGATGCTGATGTCATCGCACCGAATGCCGGGATAGTTTGGACACATGCTTACAAAATTTGTTGGTCTGCTAGTGAGAACCTGTTCTTTAATGCATTCACAATACATTAAGCACAACCTAATTGTTTTAGGTTTGGCATAACAGTGGGCTTAATGTACACTGAAAATGTAACAATGCCAAACTTTTACATGTTCTGCCACTTTAAAGCCTTGGAGTTACAATAGACCGACACAATAAAGTGTATATTTTTGAGTTTTAAACAAAAAATATAATATTTCACAAATATAAATCTGAAAAGAATAACATTCAGTTAAATTCAGAGCTCTTCTTAATAAATACTTTATACAATAACTAGAAAATATGATGAGTTTTGTTTGTTGTCCTGCTGGATGGTGAATATCTACAGGTTGTCATCCATGTTTTGCCCTTAACCGTCTTCCCAACAACTTTAACCGAATTCAATGTCCTATAGTAAAAGAAATCCACCTCCACAGCACCATGCTGCCACTACCCTGGATTTGTTTAGTGGGGTGTCCAGTGTTAACATTCATCCACACACAGCAATCTTGCATGCAGGCCTTAAGGTTGATGTTTGTTCTTATCTGACTAAATCACATTCTCTATGTTCTGCTATTGTTCTGGGATTTAAAAATAACCTTTTAAGTTTGTCTTTACACTCTCAAATTTCCAGAAAGGCCTAATCTGTACATTGTGCACAGCTGGTAGAGATTCTCTGTCATCCAGGTCATAGTCATTCCAAAAACAGTTAAAAAACAAACCATTGGACTTTGTTTTAAAAGTTTGAAGCCATTTATGTTGAGAGAGAAAAACCAACCTTAAAAAGAGAGGGTAGAAAAAGCTATGACGGAGTGATAGAGAAGATCACTGCATCGCTATCATCCCAACCTCCATCTACTATATGCAGGGGACCAAAACATCTCGCCTGGTTAGCCAGGACAACGATGACCCTTTTAATATTCTGCATTTTTTATTATGTTTTTTTTTCCTACTTGCTTTGATTCGGTTTTATTTTCCTATATTTTAATAATGTAAAGCACTTTGTATTGTCTTTGTACTGAATTGTGCTATACAATTACATTTGCCTTGCCTTGCCTAACGACCCTTTTTAGAGGAATGGGCCAGTTTCAGGTAATGCAGGCCAATAACGACCTTAACGACTCCCCATTACCAAGGGTTGGAGCTGTTTTTTTCGGTTTTATTTGTATGTTTTCTAAGGCCCCGTCCACACGAAGCCGAACCCTGGCCTAAACGCACAAATTTTTCACCAAACCAGCCTCTCATCCATACGAAGCCGGCGTTTCAGGGGTCTGTAAACGATCTTTTTTTTATTCAGCCTTCAGAGTGGGAAGATTTGGAAACGC